TTTTTTTTTTTTAATGTTTATATATTTTTTTTTGAAAGAGAGAGAGAGAATCCCAAGCAGACTCCACACTGTCAGTGCAGAGCCTGGTTCGAGGCTCAACTCACAAACGATGAGATCATGACTTAAGCCAAAATCAAGAGTCAGAAGCTTAACTGACTAAGCCACCCAGACATCCCGCATATTCTTTTCGTCATTTTTAAGTGTGATCAGAATGAAATCTTATCTAAACTTCCTAGGGGTAAAAACAATTTCTGCCATTATTTTTCATGTTTCTAAATAAAATTAAGACCCTTTTCTCTGAATGATATTGAATGTTGAGTCTTGTGCGCTCGAGTTCAGCTCTAGTCCCTCAACCGCCTTGTCTCCTAGGTTCCCTGTTTTAGTATCTTGTTCTCTGGAAACACTTTTTAAGATTACTTTTTTTTTTTTTTAAAACCTGGGAACCTGCCTTGTGTCATGGCATCTGATAGCTGAGAGCACACCACCGCCATAATCTTTTTCTCCTTAGTGATCCTTAGCGCATCTCTTTCTGACTTTCCCATCTCTTCCTCTTGGTCCAGTCAATTCTTTCTTCTCCTGCCTCTGGACCTTTTAGGCTTTGGATGATCATGTACGTGACACCATGGCGCATTCTTAAGCCTTGCTTCTGCTTCCAAACGGAGAGCGAAGGCAAGATGTCTAATTGTTTGAGGACCTCTGTTGTTCCGTTTTCCATTCTGCCTGTACGGATTCACATTCCCACCGGCAGTGCACAGAGGTTCCCCTTTCTCCACGTCCTTGCCACTAGTCATTCTTTCTTGTTTTGAGAATAGCCCTTCTGAAAGGGTATGAGGTGATGTCTTGTGGTTTCGGTTTGTATTTTCCCCGTGGCCAGTGATGTGGAGCCCCTGTTCATGCACCTGTTGGCCATCCGTATGTTTGTCTTTGGAAAAATGTCTGTTCAGCTCCTCTGCCCATTTTTAAATCAGATTGTTTGTTTGCTATTGAGTCGTATGCATTCCTTATATATTGTGGATATTAATCCCTTGTCATTGTTTGTTTGCTATTGAGTCATATGCATTCCCTATATATTGTGGATATTAATCCCTTGTCAGCTCTGTGACTCGCAAATCCCTTCTCCCACCCAGGAGGCTGCCTTTTCCTGGTCGCTTTCACTGTGCCCAGGCTGTTTACTGTTTCATCCAGTCCCACTTTTTTAGTTTTGTTTTTCTGGCTTTTGCTTTGGATGGTTGCTAACTCTATTCTCTCTTTTCTCCCAAAGTAGGTTTTTCTCATCCAGTGTTACTCATTTGTGGGGTTCTTGTTTTCTTAATTTCCCTGGGTATTTCCTATAAGCCACTTTCAGTCCCAACAGAATCTTGAAACCTTTCTTTGGGACCTAACACTTAAAAACCGAGTTTTGTGCTACTCCTAGCATTGTCCTCACTAAGGCCTGTTTTATTAATTTTGGGCTGTGGATATTTTCTGCTCCAGATGTTCTGTCTCTGGTGTTTGGTAGGGAAGCATGCTATCCCATTTCTTGGCCTGCTGTATTTTTAGACTTAGTTTCTTTCATTGAACAGCCCGTGACCTATTACCCAACACCTGTGAGAAGAAAGGTGTTCAAGGCCTGCTTTGACCACGCAGGGATATGCTGTGTTGCATGTCGTGAGATGACAGATGGAAACGGAACTCAGGGAATTGATCCCTGAAAGGAACCACCATCACTGTTTCTTCAATTAAGACAAATTTCCTGGAGAGGGTGGGGTCTTGGGGCTGTTTGGAAAGAGCTGATGGCCTGCTCATTCTCCCAACTCTCTTTGGAATTGGGAAATCTAAGTCTCAGAGAGGGAGAGAGAGAAAAAGAGACATTTTCTGAAGTACACACACAACGGGGAAGGGAATTTATCAGTTAGGAGTTTTGTTTAGCCTCACGTTGCAAGACACAAAAAACAGTGGTAAAGCACAGGAAGTTTCCCTTGATGCGGGAAAGACGTCTGCGCGGCACGGAGGCAGTTCAGGGCTGGCACCGTGGCTGTATGGTGTTATCAGGGGGTCAGGCCTCTTCAGCTCAGCTAACCCTAGGGTGTTACCTTCGTCCTCGGGGCTCAGTGTGGCTGCTGGAACTCTGGCCATCACATCTACACCCCAGGTAGTAGGATGAAGGAAAGGAGAGGCAGAGACAAAGACATGTCTTCGGTCACTTTTCCTGATAAGCAGACTTTGGGTTAAGGATTTAGGTGGAAGTGATTTGTCAAGGTAGTGCTCTCAGAAGAGACTAGTGGGTGGGTAAGGGAAGTAAGGATGTGGAAGGAGAAGCCAAGTAGGAGGCTATTTTATGGAGCTCTGGAACACAAATCATGCCCTGGAATCTGTCCCACCTTGAGGCAAAGGAACTGGGCTTTTATATGCCCACAGCAGGCACTGGTTATAGCTGGGGGTGGGAGGGACCCAGTCACAGGCACGTGGCCGTCTGCAGTCACTGGTAGAAGCTGTTAGCAGTAAGTCCCGCAGCAGCCTGGGGATGGGCACACGGAGCTGGTCAAGGGGTTCGGGGTATCTGGGTGGGGCACAAACAACAGTGTCCACTACAGGGGGTTCCAAGAAATCTCAGATAATCCTTCCCTTACATTTCATTGTCCAGAACTTTGTCACGTGATCATGCCCAGCTGCATTCGTGGCCGGGAAACAAAATCATTATTCCAGTTAGTAATCTGGCAGAGAGTAATTGCTAAAGAACGATGAAGGAAGGAATGTCGGAGGCACCTAACATGCTTGCCACAGGAGTGTAATCAATGAGTGAGTCACAGAGAGCCTTGACTGTCAGGCCAAAGGGTAGGAACTCTGCACAGTGGGGCCCGCCTGCTGTTAGAGACGGGGGAAGGACCGCGTAGTAAAAAGAGAGATTAATCTGGCAGAAGTCTCATCGCGGATCTCTTGGAAGAAGAGAGAAGAGGCAGGGAGAGCAGTGAGGGAGCCCCCAGGCCTGTGCCCACAGGGTCCAAAGGCCAGACTGGGACAGTGAGGAAGCAGCGAAGGGGGCTGACCAAGGGCAGGTGGGAGGTCCACTGGGGACAGCCTGGATGCGGACCTCAGAACCAGGTGCCTCTTTGCCTCGCACAGGGAATGGGGTAGAGTTTGGTGAGGGCAGGATGCAGGGGAGCTGCCCAGGCAGGCGGGGAGCAGAACTGGCTGCAGAGTTGGCCTGGGGCCTTCAGGGCCGGCAGATGCCGTGGCTCCAACCTGGGCTGCTGGCAGGCCTTCCTTCTCCACCCCTCTTTCCATCCCCCTTCCTTCTCTTCTTAACCAAGCTCGTTAGTCATGTTAGTCCCCAGGGGCGCCTGGGCGGCTCAGTCAGTTGAACATCCGACTTCAGCTCAGGTCATGATCTCACGGTCCGAGTTCGAGCCCCGCGGCAGGCTCCGTGCTGACAGCTCGGAGCCTGGAGCCTGCTTCCGATCCTGTGTCTCCCCCTCTCTCTGCCCCCTCCCCTGCTCACTCTCTGTCTCTCAAAAATTAAAAAAAAAATAATGTTAGTCTCCAAAGGAAAAAAAATAATGCAGGTGAAAAGGAATATTTAATTTTTCATTTCTTGTTGAACTAAGGCTGTTGATATTCTGATAAAAAGAACATAGTTAATGAAAATGAAAAGATAATTGATTAACCAAAATATCCACAGGCTAGGTCTGTGGGTTTAAATAATGTCACCAGGTGTCTTTTTGTCTGTCTGTCTGTCTCTCTGTCTTAGCTTCTCATTTTTCTTACGAGGGTAGGTCTCAGGGCCTTCAGAGCAGCGAAATTGGCACCAAGAGCAGCATGGTCTTTAGCTTCCAAGAACTCAGAAGGAAAAAGACCCCATCTTTCCAGAGTTCCTGAACAGAGCTCTGCAGGGGGCCCTGCCTGGGTCCTGTTTGCATGACACACTCTTGGCAAGGACTGAGGTCTGGGTCACATAGCCACCTCTGGTGTGGGCAAGAATGGGGGGGGGGGCGGGTCTGGGTGGCATGCAATTGAAAGTAAAAAAGGGAACAATTCCCAGATTCCCAAGATTCTTGGTAGACAGGGAAGGCAGGATGGCACCCGGACACGAACCAGTGTGAGGCAGAAATGGAATTCCAAAGTGGGGACAGTGGAAGGGACCCTGGGTTGAGCTTTGCAAGTCCCTGACCTCAGGGAGCCTTTGGGATCCTGGAAGGGAAACGTTCAGTAACCAGTTGGGGTAAGGGGAGGGGAAGAGCCTGGAGTCAGGAAAGAGGTTAGGACTAGAGATTCTGATGTCAAAAATAAAATTCTTTGTGTCAAGAGTTGGGGGGGTGGCGGTGGGGCAGCAGGGCGGTCAGGAGTCCTGTTGTCAGACTCCCCTTTGATGTTTCAGCCTTCATCCTTTTAACAACAGCCAAGTTCAAGAACGCTCTCCTATGTCTCTGTCTTCTTTGCATCCCCAGCCCCTGGGCTCCCTGGCCTGAGCCCTTCCCCCCATCCCTACCCCTAAGATGTCCAGTTCTGCATTCACCTGGGGCTAAGAGGAAACTCTTTGTTCTGTCCCCACCCAGAAAACCTAAGCTGCCTGTGCCTAGTTCCTTAAAAATCTCAGTGACCCCAGAATAGCATTTCTCCACCTTGTCACTATGACATTTTGGGCCAGATGACCTTTTGCTGTGGAGCTGTCCTGTTAGAAGATAGTTAGCAGCCTCCCTGGCCTCTGCCTGGAGGGCCCCCAAACTGTCTCCAGCCCCTGCCAAATGCCTTGACCCCTTTGACTTGGGGTCAAAATCCAACAACTGCCCTAAGAGGAACAAGAAGACAGGGAGTCTTTAAGGAGGGAGAGCCTCTGTGGTTTTCCTCCTCCTGCTTTGCAGGGCGTGGGCTGGGTGAGGGGTGCTGAGACCACAGAGAGGAGCAAGCCAGACCTGAGTTCTAGAAAGTGAAAGTACATGAGGATTTCCATTAATAGAGGAGTTTCAGGCCAAAGACAAAATTTTGAAAGTTTTTTTTTCTTTTTTTTTTTTGGTGTGTGTTTGCCCCTTTTCCATGACTCACCCACACACCCACACCCCACCCTTAATGGCATTAATGGCAAAGTGGCCTTTTTTTCTTTTTTACAATTATTTTTTCTGTTCTTAAAAATTCCTAAAGTAATACATGCGTATTTAAATAAATTTTCACATTATTCCAAAGTATTTTTTTTAACGTTTATTTATTATTGAGACAGAGAGTGAGAGCATGAAACAGGGGAGGGGCAGAGAGAGAGGGAGACACAGTAGAAGCTCTGCCCAGGTCAATCAGCCCAACCACACGGGCTCGAACTCAATGGATGCCAAGATCGTGACCTGAGCTGAATTCGGATGCCCAACCCGACTGGAGCTTCACCCAGGCTCTGGCTCCACCCAAAGTATTTATGAAAATCAAAGCCCCTTTACTCCCTGTCTTGATTCCATAGAGGGAACCACATGTTTTAATACATTGGTGAGGTGTTTTGTTTTTGTTTTTTGGTAACAAGTTTATTGAGCTGAAATTCACATACCATAAAATCCACCTATTTATTTTTTTTAAGTTTATTTATTTTGAGAGAGAGAGAGTGTAAAAGTAGCATGCCGAATGGGGGTGGGGGAGGGGCAGAGAGAGAAAGAATCCCAAGCTGGCTCCATGCTGTCAACACAGAGCCTGATGCAGGGGTCCATCCCACAAATCATGAGATCATGACCTGAGCCCAAATCAAGAGTCAGATTGTTAGCCGATTGAGCCACCCAGATGCCCCAAAATGCACCTATTTAAAGCATACAATTCAGTGATTTTTAGTATTTCACAGAGTTTTAAACTATCATCACAATTCATTTTAGGACATTCCATCATCCCCAAAAGAAACCCCGTACCCTTTAGCAATCACCCCCACCCTCCCCTCAAGCTCCTGGAAACCACTTGTCTACCCCCATCTCTGTAGATTTGAACATTTCTGATAAATGGAGGAATAAAATGTGGTCTTTGATGCCTGGCTTCTTCCACTTACTATAATATTTTCAAATCATTCACGTAATGTGGATCAACACTTCACTCCTTCTTAATTGCCAAATAATATGCTGTTATATAGATGTATATACCACATTTTACTTGTTGGTTAAGCAGGCATTTGGGTTGTTTTCATTTTTTAGCTTTTGTTAATAATGGTTTACAATGGTGAATAAGAGTGCAGGTTTTTGTGTGGACACATGTTTTCATTTATCTTGGGTATATACCTATGTTTGGAATTGCTGGATCATATCTCTATATGATTCCATTCTTTTGTTTTTGAGAGAGAGAGTACGAGTGGGGGAGAGGGGCAGAAGGAGAGAGAGCATCTTTTTTTTTTTAATGTTTATTTATTTTCTAGAGATGGAGAGACAGAGTGTGAGTGGGGGAGAGGCAGAGAGAGAGGGAGACACAGAATCCGAAGCAGGCTCCAGGCTTTGAACTGTCAGCACAGATCCCGATGTGGGGCTTGAACCCACAAGCTGTGAGATCATGACCTGAGCCAATGTCGGACACTTAACCGACTGAGCCACCCAGGTGCCCAGAGAGAGAGAGAGAGAGAGAGAGAGAATGAGAATCTTAAGCAGGCTCCATACTCAGCTCGGAGCCCAACCCAGGGCTTAATCCCACAACCCTGGGATCATGACCTGAGCCGAAATCAAGAGTCAGACGCTCAACCGGCTAAGACACCCAGGTGCCCCTAGAGACTCTGTTCTTAATGTATGGATGAACTGCCAAACTGTTTTCCACAGTGGCCGTACCATTTTATATTCCCACCTAAAATGTCTGAGAGTTTTATTTTCTCTGCATCCCCACCAACACTTTTTTATTATTGTTTCTTTGATTATAGCCATTCTAGTGGATATGAAGTGGTATCTTCTATGGTTTTGATTTGCATTTCTCTATTGACAAATGATGTTGAACACTCTTCATGTGTTTGTTGGCCATTTGTCTACTTTCTTGAAAGAACTGTCATTCAGATCCTTTGTCCATTTTTAATTGGGTTGTCTTTTTTATTATTGAATTATAAGTGTTCTTTATATAGTCTAGATTCAAGTCCTTTATCAGATGATTTGCAAATACTTTCCCCCTCTCTGTGAGTTATCTTCTCATTTTCTTCATGGTGTCTTTCAAAGCACAGAAGTTTGTAAATTTTCATGAAATCCAGTTTTTCTGTTTCTTTTTGTTGCTGATGTTTTCCATGTCCTAGCTAAGACCACTGCCTAATCCAGCACCACAAAGATTCATACCTATGTTTTCTTCTCAGAGTTTTGTAGTTTTGCTCTTAAAATTAGGTTGTCAGTCCACTCTGAGTTAATTTTTGTGTGAGCTACCAGTCCAATGTAATTCTTTTGCACATGGATATCCATTTACAGCACCACTGGTTGAAAAAAACAATTCTTTCCCCCCATTGAATTGTTTTGGCACCCTTGTCAAAAAGCAGTTGACCATAAACCAGAGGGTTGATTTCTGAATTCTCAGTTCTGGTTCATTGATCTCCATGTCTGTCCTTATGCCAGGACCACGGTGTCTGGATTACTGTAGCTTTGTAGTAAATTTTGAAATCAGAAAGTGTGAGTCCTTCAGCGTGGTTCTTCTTTTTCAAGATTGTTTTGGCTGTTATGGGTCCCTTGAATGTCCATGTGAATTTTAAGATCAGTTTGTCAGTTTCTGCAATGAAGCCTTGCATTGAATCTGTAGGTCAATTGGGGAGATATTGCCATCTTAAAAATATCAGGGGTTCTAATCCAGGAACATGGGATCATTTAATTTTCTTCCCCAGTGGTTTATAATTTTCAAGATGTATGGTTTTCACTTCTTATGTTAAACAGATTCCTAAGTATTTAGCACTATTGTAAATGAGATTTTATTTGGGGTTGTTCATTGCAAGTATGTAGGATACAGTTGATTTTTGTAGATTGTCTTGTATCCTGTGACCTTGCTACACTCATATATTAGTTCTAATAGTTTTTTAGAGGGTCCCTTAGGATTTTCTGTACACAAGATCCTGTCATTTATGAATAGAGATAGTTTTCATTCTCCCTTTCCAATCTGGACACCTTTTCTTTCTCTTAATTCATACCTGGCTGGAATCTCCAGGACAGTATTGCGTAGAAGTAATGAGGAGGGTGGACATCCTTGCCTTGGACCTGATCTTAGGGGGAATGCTTCAGTCTTTCAACATTACGTATGATGTTAGTTCTGGTTTGTTGGTAGATGGCCTTTATTGGGTTGAGGAAGTTCCCTTCTCTTCCTAGTTTGTTGAATGTTTTTTATCACAAAGGTGTGTTGGATTTTTGTCACATTCTTTTTCTACACCTGAAGTGATCATGTGGCTTTATCTCTTCTGTTATTGATATTTCATATTGAATTAGTACATTTTTAGGTACCAAACCAGCCTTGGATTCTGGGGATAAATCACACTTGGTCCTTTTCATATGTTGCTGCATTTGGTTTGCTAGTATTTTGTTGAAGGTTTTTGCATCTTTATGCAAAAAAGATAGTCACCTATTTTTTTTCCTTCCTTGTGAGATCTCTGTCTTATTTTGGCATCAGGATAATGTTGGCCTATAGAATGTGTGGTTCTTATATTCTGCAGTTTCCCTGGATATGCTCTGTCCCTCCTGTTGTAAGACATGTCATTGATTTCTAATTATTTGCTAGTATAACAGCTTTATAAAGCATGTTTTTATTTTAAATATGTATAGAGACTGCCAAATTTTGGACAATCTTTAAATTGAAATATTCTCTTAACCAGTTTGCAAGAATCTTGTTAGTCCCAGAACTACCATGTAGTTTTCCCCTTCCTTGGTACTGTACTAAATACTATAGATACATAATATTTAGGTAGCGCTATCATTTTCCTCGTTCTTTGGATGAGAAAACTGAAGCACAAAGGGTTCAAGAGCTTGCGTAAAGCCACACAGTTAGAAAGTGGTGGAACTTTGATTCAGACTTTGTTCAGCCATGATTTAAATTTTGGAGAAGTTCATCTGAGATTGAATTCTACTGGAAACTGAAATAAAACCCATGGCCCTGGTTCTGTATTTATTTTTGTCAGTAATGGATTTGAATTTGATGCTACTGATGAATATTTTCTGCACACTCTTGTTTTGAAGAAGCTGCAGTTGTCAGGCTG